ATCACTGCAGCTAGTTCTAAGTCGTGGGTAGGGTAATTCACCTCATGGGGTTTTAGCTGTCGTGAAGCATAAGCTACCACTCGACCTTGCTGCATCAACACACATCCCAATCCATTCCTAGAAGCGTCGGTAAACACTGTGTAGGGCTCGTTGCTGCTAGGGACTATGAGAATAGGAGCGCTAGTGAGTCGATGTTTCAGCTCGATGAACGCTTCCTCACATTCTTCATCCCAAACAAACCTAACATCCTTTCTCATCAACCTTGTCAAAGGCGATGCAATCCTCGAGAAATTTTCCACAAATCGCCGATAATATCCCGCTAACCTAAGGAAACTACGAATCTCTGACACATTCTTCGGATGCCCCCAGTTCAACACAGCCTCTACCTTGGAGGGATCAACTGATATGCCCTCTTGGGAAACAACATGTCCAAGGAATTTCACTTCAGTCATCCAGAAATCACACTTTTCTTCCTTAGCATATAGACGATGTTCCCTTAAAGTCTGCAAGGCAATTCTCAAATGTTCTGCATGTTCCTCTTGAGTCTTGGAATAAATCAAGATGTCATCGATGAAGACGATGATAAAGCGATCTAAATGCGGACGAAAAACTCTGTTCATGAGGTCCATAAATTCGACTGGTGCATTGGTCAACCCGAATGGCATGACAAGAAACTCGTAGTGACCATAGCGAGTGCGAAAAGCCGTCTTTGAAACATCCTCATCTCTTACCTTCAACTGATGATATCCTGACTGTAAATCAATCTTGGAGAAATATCGGGACCCATCTAACTGATCAAACAATTCGTCAATACGGGGTAATGGATACTTATTTTTTATGGTGACTCGGTTGAGTTGATGGTAATCCATGCAAAGTCTCAATGACCCATCATGCTTTTTTGCGAAAAGGACAGGAGCTCCCCACGGTGATGTACTAGGATGAATAAACCCTTTCTCCATTAATTCTTGCAATTGCTTCCTTAACTCGACATTTTCAGCAGGTGCCATGCGGTATGGAGCAATAGAAATGGGAGAGGTACCGGGGATTAAATCTATGCAAAACTCAATCTCTCTGTCCGGTGGAAGCCCTGGTAGCTCATTTGGAAACACGTCTCGAAAATCATCCACCACCGGTATATACGAAGATTCATTTGCCTCATACTCTCCTTCTCATGCGAAAACCATTCCCAAGCTCTCTAGATTCTTCCGACCTCCAATGTAAGCTTTTAAAACAGGTGTTGGCGTCACTATTCCTGTCTTAGCCTGATAGTCTATGACTTGCCCATTTTTAGTAAGAAGTGTGACACGTCTTCGGTAACAATCCACTGTAGCACGATACTTACTTAACCAATCCATACCTAGTATGACGTCAAACCCAGTCATTGGCAACACAAATAGGTTGGCTGATAGTCGATGATCGCCTAAGACTATACAACAGGATCTACAAATCATAGATACCTCAGCTATACCTCCCATCGGTGTACTAAGAGTCAAAGGGGGATCATGCGTATCAACGCCTAATTGTAGAACTGAAGCAAATAACATGGAAATAAAAGAATGCGTGGCACCAGTATCAAATAACACCTGAGCCCAAGAATGAGAGACAAGTATCGTACCATCAACTACGGAGTGATCAACTTGTTGTCCCCGACCAGTGGTTGCCATTGATGTGACAGCATAAGCCTGAGCCTGAGACTTTCCCTTGTTCTTTTGTCCTCTACCACAATTCCCATGACTGCTACTTGCACCAGCATTTCCTCCCGAAAAGTAAGGTCTCTGACTCCCAGAAGCTTGAGGAGTAGGCTGATAACTCTGACTTTGCTGAAAACTTGAACCTTGTGGTCGTGGCTGGAGGTAATAATGTGGCTGAAGACCACGTGGTTGAGGGACAGAAGCATAAGAAGCAGTCGGGTTCTAAAAAGATGCTTGATTCCCACTACCTGAAGCTGAACCAGTATGGCTACTCTGTTGTTCCCCAGGAGCTAAAGGCGACTGCATCGGACGGTTTGGGCAATTTCGCTTAAGGTGTCCGGGTTGCCCACAGGTATAACAGGCGTAAGGCTGGAAACGTCTGCTACCTGAAGAGCTACTACTGCCACTCGTGCCACTATTTTGCAGACCTTGACCCTGTGTCTTATCCTTTTTACCCATTTTTCTTGACTTTCCGCTTCCTCCTGGTCCTTTGTACTCTCCATAAGTGCTATTGAGCTCGGCTTCAGCTCGCTCGGCTGCATCAACCAGCTTGAGAAAGTTGTTTAAAGCAGTAGATGTTATCATCTGTCTAAGTCTAGGCCTCAGGTTCTTTCAGAATTTCTCACACCTAGCCATAGGGTCTGCAACTGCGCCAGGATTGTAACGAGATAGATCGATAAACCGGGCATGATATTGTGCTACTGTCATATCACCCTGTACCAAGTCATCAAATTCTCTGATCATCCTCAGTCGATGGTTCTCAGGAATAAACGTCCTCTTGAACAGTGCCTTAAACTCATCCCAAGGAAGATTAGGTATATCATAGTCTTCCCCCTGACTTTCTAGCCATTGCTCCGCTTTTCCTTCAAACATGTAGGTTGCAAAATCAACACAGTATTCCGGTGGAATTCCTAAAGTTCGGAGTTTCTTTTTGATGCTCTTTAACCATTGCTCGGCGGCTACTGGATCTGGTTCGCCAATAAAAGTAGGAGGTTTCTGCTTCATGAACTTTTCAAGCAATGTCAGGCGTTGTTGAGCTGCATTTGGATCCTGTGGAGGATTTTGGGCATTTTGAAAGGCTTGGAACATGGCAGCAAATTGTTCCATATCGAAAGCTGGGGCAGCAGGTTGGGGATTACGCCTTGGCGGCATATTTTTTGATTTGACTGTGGAAATTCGACAGGATTAGTACTGATGATGATTTACTAAAAAAAAAGATAAAACCCAATTAAAACCGTGTAAAATGGTGCTACATTTCCTAGGTTTCCCAACCTAGGCTCTGAAACCAAAATTTGTAACACCCCTAGGTGGGGGTTACACAATAAGAATAAAATACGAGGGATAAACAAAAATAAAAATAAAATATAACTCCTGAAATATAAACGACAAGTGCCCATGGGACTTTTAACGAAAAACTCATGATTAAAATCACAACTCGACAAAGAAAGTTAAACTAGAAATCCACAGTACAATGTAACACCGAGTAAAATACTAAAATAATACAACCATCATCAGTCACATCCATGTTGAAAACAACCCAGTCAGAATCTTACATAAAAAAGAAGACCAAAAGAAGGGATAGGTCTCCAACACGTGCACACTGTGAGACGTCTACTCTTCGTCTGAAAGATTACACTGCACACCACCTGGGGATGGGAAGAGAAAGGGGGGTGAGCATGAAATTCTCAGTAGGAGGACTATTACTCACCTTTAGTTTTATTTAGTTTTCCAATTAAACCTGCATGGTTAGTAGTTTTTATGTTTTATGTATAATGAGTCAGATGATCAGTATCAGTGAGATAACCTAATCCGGACGCTCGTGATGAAAAAACCCCCGAAGGGCGCGGTGATTCGGAGGCACTGATAGCAAGGAGCTCTATCTCGGCGTCCCTACCAGATCAGTTCTCGAAACACGGGCAAGGGTGACCTGTCGTTCTGAGCCCTCACCAAGACGCAACCACTGTACAGTAACCTTGGGGATTCTCAACCCCGGAGAGCGTCATCACCTCTCCCTTCTTTTACCTTTTCAGGTTCACACCCAGGGATGGTGAACGGCCACACCTACTGTTAGCACACTATCTCACGATCGTGTCCGGTTTACATTCTCCTAACCATGCTTTTGTGTTAGGTTCCAAAATTATGTCAAAATCTCTTGGCCACACTGTACATTACAGGATGGGCCCCCTAATGGTTTTGTTTCAAGTCACGTCGTATAACAGTAATAAATAAGTTTGGTATACAATTTCAATCTTCTCAAATTTAACAAAATAAATTAAATTAAATTAAATTCCACAAAAGTTAAGTAATAGGACCCCTACCTCAAAACGGATCGTCAATCGGAAGTCGAGAAGCTGAGAAACGAAGCTTCGCCGGAATCCGGCGGCGGAGCTTCCCGGTGCTGAATCCCGCGGTGGACTTGGGTCTTACCCCCTTTAAATCAATAGTTCTGAATCCATAAATCAATACTTCTAAATCCAATGGCGATGTCAATTTTACCAAATTCGGCCTCTAACAACTCGGATCGAGATCCTCAATTCCGGCCGAATTTTGAGTCTTGAATCTTCGTTTTTCAACGATCTTCAAAATTGATTGAGGGCTTTCATTACCCGTGAGATTCTGAGTATTTTGACACCAAGATCACGATGATCCAACGGCTAGATCACCGGAACCATCCTCCCATTTTTCTCACGGCGACGGTGGTTCATTTTCCGGCAAGCCAACGGTGGTGACCATGGCTGGTGGCCTAGAATGACTCGTCGGCTCCCTCTAAAGCTAATGAGCTGGGCGGTGTCGTTCACGGCAGCCGGAGGAGGGAGGTACGAGGGCGGCGACGGCGAGAAATTTGACCACCACGGGCGGCGGCATTTTGTTCAGAATCAAGCCGTGCTGCTGGTACGGTTTTCTTCATCTCTACGTTCTGAGTCTATTGGGACCGGAATCACCTCAATCGGACACCGGACGGCGAAGATATCACGATCGGAAGTTTGGGTGTTTTTCAAAACTTTGGCCGGCGAGTGTGGCGTCGTCCGGCGGAGTTGGCAGCTGGAAGACACCAATCCAGACTCAGCTTGACGAGATCTTTCCAACGAGCCGGGAGGTGTCGAAAACTGACGCGGGGAATCTCACCGGAGGTTGGTCGGCCGTTGATAAGTGCACGAATTTGCACTTTTAATGTTCATAATTGTCAAATTATTTTATCAAATTTGTGATTTTAATTTCAAATATTCCTAAATTTAGAGGATTTAATTTTAATTGGATTTATTTTATTTTTTTCAGGTTTTTGAAGAAAACAATTGAATTTGGGCTAGTTTTACTTGGCGTGCACGCTGCTTCCTCCGCGCGAGTTCTCCTCATGCGCGCGTCACCCGGACTTCCTCTCTCTTCCGCGTGGGTCCCGCGTGCCAGCGCCCCTCCAGCCAGATCTCGCCACGTGTCCCAGTGGGGTCCAGCTACCCCCCGCGTACGCGCATTTTGCGCGCACTTCCCCTCTCCGCGCGAGTTTCTCTCCCGCGCGCGTCCAGTTCTCTTTCAGCGTGGTCCAGCTGTGCACTACGTCTCTCCTGCGCGCAAATCATTTGGCGACACGTGTCCCACTCTTCAGAAACGTGATGATTTTTCTCCCTCGATTAAGCATCCGATTTGTATATTCTTAGCATATTCAAACTCTATAAATAGGATCATTATCTAAGTGATAAGGGGATTAATTTTTAGAATCTATTTTAGTCTAAGTTTTTACATTTTTTTCTCTCATCTTCTTGTTCTTAGTCTCATATTTTCTGTTTAGAATTTTATGGGAATTATGTGCAAGCTAGGCTAGAGATGATCCTATATGTGTAGTGAACTTATTTGGATTTTTGATTCTCCAATGGTTTGTAAGTTTTATACATTTGAGTAAATAATTTTCTTTTATCATATTTCTTCTTCTTATCAATATATTTTATTGTCAACTCTCATATAAATCTAGTCAAGCTCTTTTTATGTGATTGTTGCATTATATGATATATTGATCGGTATTATTTTATGAGTAGTC